TTGAATTTTGTCTAATGCTTTTCCAGCATCTATGGAAATTATCATGTTGTTTTTGTCCTTGTTTTTGTTGATGTGGTGGATGATGTTGATGGATTTTCGAATGTTGTTCCATCCTTCCATCCCTGAGAGGAATTCCACTTGATCATGGTGTATGATCCTCTTGATGTATTTTTGAATTCGGTTTGCTAATATTTTGTTGAGTATTTTTGCATCAATGTTCATCAGGGATGGTGGTCTTTAATTTGCTTTTTTTGTGGTGTCTTTGCCTGGTTTTGGTATTAGAGTGATGCTGGCTTCATAGAAAGAGTCTGGAAGTATTCCCTCTTCTTCTATTTTTTTGGAAAACTTTAAGGAGGGTGGGTATTATCTTCTGTAAATATCTCATAAACTTAAGCTGTGAATCTATCAGGCCCAGCGGTTTTGTTTTTGTGTAGTTATTTGTGTACCAATTCAATTTCATTGCTGTTAATTGACTTGTTTAGATTTTCTGTTTCTTTCTTGGTCAGCTTTGGATGGTTGTATTTTTCTAGAAAGTTGTCCATTTCTTCTAGGTTATCCAGTTTTTTGGCATATAGATTTTCATAGTATTCTCTAATAATTCTTTGTATTTCTGTGGTTTCCATGATGATTTTTCCTTTCTCATTTCTGATTCTGTTTATGTGTGTAGATTCTCTCTTTTTTTTTTTCATAAAAAGTCTGTCTAGGGGTTTATCTATTTTGTTAATTTTCTCAAAGAACTGGATCTTGGTTTCATTAACTTTTTGTATTGTTTTATTCTTCTCAATTTTATTTATTTATTCTCTGATCTCTATTATGTCCCTCCTTCTGCTGACTGTGGGCTTCATTTGTTCTTTTTTTTCCAATTTCAATGATTGTCAATTTAAACTATTCATTTCGGATTGTTCTTCCTTCTTTGAATAGGCCTGGATTGCTATATACTTTCCTCTTAGAACTGTCTTTGCTGTGTCCCACAGAAGTTGGGGCATTGTGCTGTTGTTTTCATTTGTGTCCATATATTGCTTGATCTCTGTTTTAATTTGGTGATTGATCCATTGATTATTTAGGAGCATGTTGTTAAGCCTCCATGTGTTTGTGAGCCTTTTTGTTTTCTTTGTACAATTTATTTCTAGTTTTATGCCCTTGTGATCTGAGAAGTTGGTTGGTACAATTTCAATCTTTTTGAATTTACAAGGCTCTTTTTGTGGCCTAGTATGTGGTCTATTCTGGAAAATGTTCCATGTGCACTTGAAAAGAATGTGTATCCTGCTGTTTTAGGTGGAGAGTTCTGTAGATGTCTGTTAGTTCCATCTGTTCTAATGTATTGTTCAATGTCTCTGTGTCCTTACTTATTTTCTGTCTGGTTGATCAGTCCTTTGGAATAAGTGGAGTGTTGAATTCTCCTAAAATCAATGCACTAGATTCTATATTCCCTTTAATTCTGTTAGTATTTGTTTCACATATGTAGGTGCTCCTGTGTTGGGTGCATAGATATTTATAATGGTTATATCCTCTTGTTGGATTGACCCCTTTATCATTATGTAATGTGCTTCTTTGTCTCCTTTGACTTTCTTTATTTTCAAGTCTATTTTGTGTGATACAAGTGCTGCAACACCCACTTTTTTCTCCCTATTACTTGCATGAAATATCTTTTTCTATCCCTTTGCTTTTAGTCTGTGTATGTCTTTGGGTTTAAAGTGAGTCTCTTGTAGGCAGCATATAGTTAGGTCTTGTTCTTTATCCATTCAGTGACTCTGTGTCTTTTGATTGGTGCATTCAGACCATTTACATTTAGGGTGATTATTGAAAGATATTTACTTATTGCCATTGCAGACTTTAGATTCATGTTTACCAAAGGTTCAAGAGTAATTTCCTTACTATATAAGAGTCTAACTTAACTCACTTAATATGCTATTATGAACACAATCTAAAGGTTCTTTTTTCCCCTTATTTTCTTCCTCCTCCATTCTTTATTTATTAGGTATCATATTCTGTACTCTTTGTCTATCCCTTTATATTACCTCTGGTGAGAGCTATTTAACCTTAGAAACACTTCCATCTATAGCAGTCCCTCCAAAATACACTGTAGAGATGGTTTGTGGGAGGTAAATTGTCTCAGCTTCTGCTTATCTGGAAGTTGTTTAATCCCTCCTTCAAATTTAAATGGTAATCTTGCCAGATAAAGTGTTCTTGGTTCACGGCCCTTCTGCTTCATTGCATTAAATATATCATGCCACTTCCTTCTGGCCTGTAAGGTTTCTGCTGAGAAGTCTGATGAGAGCCTGATGGGTTTTCCTTTGTATGTGATCTTATTTCTCTCTCTGGTTGCTTTTAATAGTCTTTCCTTATCCTTGATCTTTGCCATTTTAATTATTATAGGTCTTGGTATTGTCTTCCTTGGGTCCCTTGTTTTGGAAGATCTGTGCACCTCCATGGCTGAGAGACTATCTCCTTCCACAGATTGAGGAAGTTTTCAGCAGTTACTTCCTCCAAGACGCTTTCTGTCTCTTTTTCTCTCTTCTTCTTCTTCTGCTACCCCTGTAATACAAATGTTGTTCCATTTGGATTGGTCACACAGTTCTCTCAGTATTCTTTCATTCCTAAAGATTATTTTTTCTCTCACCTCAGCTTCTTTGTATTCCTCTTCCCTAATTTCTATTTCATTTATCATCTCCTCCACCATATCTTATCTGCTTTTAATACCCTCCACCATTGTGTCTTCAATGATTGGATCTCCATCCTAAATTCATTCCTGAGTTCTTGAATGTTTTTTTTGTATCTCCATGAGCATGTTAATGATTTTTATTTTAAAATCTCTTTCAGGAAGATTTATGAGGTCGATTTCTTTTGAATCTTTCTCATATGTATTCATAATTTTGCTTTGAACCAGGTTCCTTTGACATTTTGTAATTTGTCTGTGGTGCCCTCTAGTGCCCATAAGCTCTACTCTCTGGAGCTGCTCTGGCCGTGTAGCAATGTCAGGCATCGCAGGTGAGTGGTTTTGTTGCTTGGGGGTAGGAAAGAGCTGTTCCCTGCTTCCCAGCTGCTATGCCTGTCTCCACTGCCAGAACCAGTGGGCCGAACCCACAGGTGTAAGCCTCTATGCATTGTGTTTGTAGCTGCCATAGGCAGGCCTTCCCTCTGGCTGGCCTGATGCCAGGGCAGAGGTTGCTGGTTTAAGAGCCTGAGCCAGGTTCAGGATAGCCAGGAGGAAGACACAGCAGGCTGCGTATCATGGTGGGGGGACTTGGAGCTGCATAGCCAGTCAGGGAGATGGAGCACCTGAAGATTGTGAAAGTTCCCAACCTGCTGGGCAGAGTGCACATGGACAATTTTGTCTACCTGTCATTTCTCCTCAGCAGTGAGCTCTATGTAATCCTTGCCCCTTTAGCAGCCCTCTCATTTTTAGGAAGTCTCTCAGACTGCCCACCCAGATCTGCCAGATATGAATCCCTGTCTTCCACAAGCAGCTGGAATCTCCATCTCTCCAGGTATTCCACCTGTCTTAGCTTTCCAACTGCACTAAATCACCAGAACACCATGAAATGTAGGTTCATGCTCCCAGAGCATATTTCCAGGGCTAGGTGTTCAGCAGTCCCTGACCCATGCCCTCCCCACTGTTTCTCTTCCTCCCACTGGTGAGCTGGGGTGGGGCAAGGGCTTGGGCCCCACTGGGTCACAGCTTTGGTATGTTACCCTGGTCCATGAGATCTGCTCTTTTCTCCAGGTGTTTGCAGTCTGGTGCAGCCTTCTTTCCTGTTGCTCTTTCAGGATTAGTTGTATTAAATTATATTTCCTTATTATATTTGGTTTTAAGAGGAGGTCTCTGTCCCACCTCTCATGCCACCATCTTTAATCCAATCTGAAGTGACACTTTCATTGCTGTTTCAAAATTTCTCTTTTAATCCAATTCTTTGCCAGATATTGTCCTCATATTTCTTGGAGTGTCTTGCAAGTAGATATCTGTGCTAGTTTTCCATGCTGGGGGAGAAGGGTATGTAATTCATTTTTTCATGCAGTGTCATTAACATTAACAGGAAGAGGTTGATTTATCCCAGATTAAATGGTCAACAAATGAAAATTGGCATTTGGAATTCCAACTGTCACTCTATTGCTTGCCATCCTCAGTTTATCATGTTTCTCTACAATGATCAGTACATTTTCCACTCATGATTTACTTGTCAGGGAATTTAGGAGTTTTCTGGATCCTGAAGTCTGCCATTGCTAATGATGATTACTGGATAATTGCCTATTCTCTAGTGGAATATCCATTTTTAGATTACACCAGGCTCTACAGACTTTATATATTTGGCAGAAGAACTCAAAGGCTGTAGAGTGTATTTGTTCTCCTTCCCCAGCTCAGTGTAAACAATGACTCTCTTGGGCTCTGGGGATTTGCTTTGTACTCTCATTCAAGGGCCACTTTCTACCGTTGTTCTCATTTATCTTAGTGTTCTGTTTGAAATCTTTTATATCATATGCACATGTATTTGATTCTGAGGTTATTGTCAAATTGGTGTACATCATCACCTCCAAACTGGAAACAGACAATCCAGTTCTGTTCCCATAAGTTATGTTGTTCTTATGAAAGCTGATAAAGGTCAAAAAACATACAGAAAAAATATCTTTAAGGAAATATAATTCCAAATGGGGTACAGAAGTATTATCCAAAAAGGTATAAGTACCAATGTCATCCAGTTAAAGACTGAAAGATTTCCCTCTGTATGAGATATTCCAGTGACTGATTAAGACTCCCTCAGTTCATATATGTGGGAGGTGGGAAGCACTCAGAGGAACTGTACTCCAAGAGTTTTCAGAAGGATATGATTGTGTAAAGAGACTTCCTCACAAAAGGACTTGGTTCTAATCTATAAATCAGATTTTTTTTGGAGAAAAAATGAATTTCCTTTCTTTTTGGCAGTGGTTCTATCTAGTCTTCATTCTGATTCCAGCCTTACATAACTATCTATTTAATGATGATCTCTTGATTTTTTTCATTGCAGTTTCAACAGTGTATGTCAGGGAACTCATGTTCTCTTTCGGGAATTCAGCTTCATCCAAGCTACTCCTCACAACAGGGCATCATTCTTAAAGGCCTTCTGGAGATGCTTCCAAACTGTGGGCAAAAATGGTGGTAAGTCTTCCCAAATTATTTTCTTGCCTTCCTTTCTTCATTCCAAACTTCTGTCTTCCTTTTATTCTTATAATACAGTTTGTGTAAATGCTATTCAAGCTTCTAGGAACACCTTCCATTTAAGAAGCTATCTCTCTTGTGTCAGAGATACCACCACGATTATTACCACCATCACCATCACTAATGATACTAAAAGCCAAACACAGTTCTGAGCACCTTACATGCAGTAATTCATTTACTTTTCACAGTAGCTCTCTGTGATAGATACTATAATCCCTATTTTACAACCAGTGAATCTGAGGATCAGAGGAAATAAATAACTTGGCAAGGTCACACAGTAGATGCTGGGGCCAGATTCATACCCAGGCAGTCTGGCTCCAGAGTATTGGCTCTCAGTAGATATTAAAATACCATGCAGTAAATTCAAGAAGTGATGAATACAAAGGAGGAAACTCTTAAGTCAGGGTGGAGATGGGGGTAAGATAGGAATCTTATAGTCAGAGAAGGGAGATTAGAGGAGGTTTTCCTTAGAACTAGCTGTTCAATCTAAGTTGGGAAAGAAGAGGAGGAGTTAGCCACATGGATAAAAGGAGAAGAGGACATTCCAGGTACAGCATGAGCTATGGTGTAGAAGCATAAAAGAACCTGGAGTATTTAAGAAACTGAGAAGATCAGAATGGCTAATTTGTGAAGGAGGCTAAGGAATATGAGCCTGTGAAGGAATAAAGAAGAATGAAGTCCTGAAAGACCATTTCTTGCCATAGAAAAGAAGTTGGATTTTATTCTGTAGGTTCTATTTGAAGAATTTTAGACAGAAGAGTAGTGTGATGATATCTACATTCTGGAAAGGTCATTCTAAAGGCAGTGTAGAAATGGCACACAGGGTGAGACTGGAGGCAGAAAGCTTAGGAAACTACCTGTAGTTGAGGAAAGAGCAAGATCCACAATTAAGACAGTATCCATGGAGATGGAAGAGACAGTTCTAGAGATAGAATCCATAGGATTTGGTGATTGGGTTTGGCATGTAAGGTGAATGAGAAGACCAGTGATATATTTCCAAGTAAGCGTACAGTTCCGTAGCATTAAGTATACTCACAATATTCTGAAACTATCACTACTATCCATCTCCAGAACTTTTTCAGCTTCCCAAACTGAAACTCCATCCCTGTTAAACAATAAATCCCTATTCTCCTCTTCCCCTGCCATTGGCGACTACTATTGTACTTTCTGTCTCTATGAACTGAACTACTCAAATTACCTCCTATTAGTAGATTCATATAATATTTATATGTTTGTGAATGACTTATTTCATTTAACATAATATCTTCCAAATTCATGGATGTTGTGGCATGTGTCAGAATTTCCTTTCTTCTTAATGCTGAATAATATTCCATCATATGTGTATAATTTTTAAATTAAAGTATGATATACAATATTTTATTAGTTTCAGGCATACAACACAATAGTTCAGCAGTTACCCATGTTATTAAATCCTCATCCCCACTTGTGCAGTTACTGTCAACACAGGAAGATGTTACAGAACTATTGGCTATATTCTCCATGCTGTACTACCATCCCTGTGACCAACCTATATTATAATGGAGAATTTTTGTGCTCCTTTATCCCCTGTCACTCTCCTCACCCACCTACCCCAACTTACCCCATGGTAAAACCACCAGTCAACTTCTCAGTGTCTATGAGTCTACTGCTATTTTGTTCATTTTGTTTTGTTTTGTTTTTATATTCCATAATTAAGTGAAATAATATGGTGTTTGTCTTTCTCTACCTGGCTATTTCATTGAGCATAATGCCCTCTAGCTCCATCCACGTTGTTGCAAATGACAGGATTTCTTTTCTTTTTATGGCTGAATAATATTCCATGTGAACATGTACCAAATCATTATCCATTTACCTATTGATGGACACTTAGGTTGGTTCCATATCTTGGCTATTGTAAATAATGTGGCAATAAACAAAGAGGTGCATATATCCTTTTGAACCAGGGATTTTGTTTTCTAAAGACAAATTCCTAGAAATGGAATTACTAGGTTGAATGGTTTTTTTTTTCATTTTTGTAGACTGAGTTAACTTTATATTTTTATCTCATTTTGGTACCATGAATATACAATTACATGAGAAACATTGTGGTTACTAGATTCTCTACATTATCAAGTACCCACCACATACCCCACAGTCACTGTCCATCAATGTCGTAAGATGCTATAGAATCATTACTTGTCTGCTCTGTGCTATACTGCCTTCCCCATGCCACACCCCATGAATGGTTTTCTATATTTAGTTTTAGTGTTTTGAGGAACCTCCACACTGTTTTCCACAGTGACTGCACCAATACACATTCCCACCAGCAGTGCAGGAAGGTTCCCTTTGTTCCACATCCTCTCCAACACTACTTACTTATTGTCTTTTAGATAGTTGCCATTCTGACTGGTGTGAAGTGATATCTCATTGCGGTTTTGATTTGCATTTCCCTGAAGATTAGCGATGTGGAGGATCTTTTCATGTGACTGTTGGCCATTTGTATTTCTTCTTTAGAAAAATGTCTGTTCAGGTCCTCCACCAATTGTTTTTTTGGTATCATTAATCTACAATTACATGAGGGACATTATGTTTACTGGACTCCCCCCACCATGTCCCCACCCCACAATCCCCATTACAGTCACTGTCCATCAGCGCAGTAAGAATCTATAAAATCACTACATGTCTTCTCTGTGTTGCACGGTCCTCCCCATGCCCCCGCTGACATACATGCTAATCATAATGCCCCCTTTCTTTCTCCCACCCCCTTATCCCTCCCTTACCACCCATCCTCCCCAGTCCCTTTCCCTTTGGTAACTGTTAGTCCATTCTTAGGTTCTGTGAGTCTGCTGCTGTTTTGTTCCTTCAGTTTTTTCTTTGTTCTTATACTCCACAGATGAGTGAAATCATTTGGCACTTATCTTTCTCCACTTGGCTTATTTCACTGAGCATAATACCCTGTAGCTCCATCCATGTTGTTGCAAATGGTAGGACTTGTTTCTTTCTTATGGCTGAATAATATTCCATTGTGTATATGTACCACCTCTTCTTTATCCATTCATCTACTGATGGACACTTAGGTTGCTTCCATT